GCAGGATGATGCCGTTAGGATTGTCTGGTGGAGACCATGTTAACATTATTGCACGGGACGAGAGAACTGTTACAAACGGTGCAGGCTGCTCAGATGGGGCTGAAATTAAAGGAGAACACACCATAGTATGAGGCAAAATACAAATTGAAATCAGAATAATCTCGGATTATCGACACACTATTAAAATCATTCTTATTATGGCCATAAATTTCCGTTACCTCCGCTGCAGCCATACTTGTTGTTCTGTTGAAGATTTATGGTTCCGTTTTTACACTTGTCACACTGTTTCCCTTCGACATTAACTTTGCATGTACACTGTCCAGTTTCATCACATTGATTGGTAAGACTGCCAGCCACATTACAGTTACAAGGGATACAGCTGAGGGTGTAACGAACAGAATATCATTGAGTTAGCAACTAAGTGAAGGGTAAATAGGCTGAATTACATTGTGTTCAGTTGCCAGAGATAAATATTCTACTCACTTCCCCGTTGTTGTAAAGCCGTAAAAACCATCTACACATCTATCACACCGCAGTCCACCAATGTTTGCCTTACAGGTACACTGGCCAGTATCATTGCAGTTTTTCCCAACAGACCCGGTTGGGTTACACTGACACTGGACACAGCCCTGTCCTGCTGGATTCCAGAAGTATTCCGCTGCACAGGAGTCACAGCGCAGCCCAGACACACTGGACAAACAGAAGCACTGTCCATTATTGCTCGAACATTGGAGTTCATCTGGAGAGGAAGAGCGAACGTAATTGAACAAGTATAAATCGAAGTTGATTATTACACACAAGTTTCCCCCGAGAAGCAACTCGGGCTAACAGGAATTGGTTGGTAAATATTGGTCAATATCTAGAGGAATAACACTTTGTCAAGAGGAGAACTGTCATCAAGAACTTTGAAGGTTTTTCCGTTCAACGTACGATAAATCAATTAACACTTCAACCCCTAAAAGTGACTAACATCTAGATTCTCCCAACAATATCACCCCTGTATTAAACAGTTAGTTCACGAGAATGAAGGGAATGATCACTAACAAAAGAAACTCTTGATTGTTTGACAAATTCTCCTTGTCAGCACCTCAGGAAATGTATAAAGAACAGTATGGAGAGTGTGCAAACTGATGTTAGGATGTAAAGGGTTAAGAAAAACTTCCTTAGAAGGTTTCACCTGCTACAACATTTTCCTAAATCATCTGATCCTCTGTCCATTACATGAATTGATGCCAAAGTTCTCAATGACAAAACTATTTTTATTTGGCACAACAAAGCAAACAGCAAAAAAATGAGCAACAGAAGGTAAATGGATACAACAAGGTATCTATTTAAATGAAACTAGTATCCCACAAACTGAAAATTTTGAATTGCAGTGAGGACATACATGTAAGTTCATGTTGCTCTGACTTGTGACAATAATACTATATCTTACATTGTACACTGACTTTGACTGACCTGGATTCTTTTTGTCACCATCTATGGTTCCCTTGGGATAACAATTACATGGTTGACATCCATTAGGATCTGATTGGTTAAGACCAAACGTTCCCAGCTTACATTGGTTGCATGTCTGACCAATCACCAATGGCTTACAAGTACAGTTTCCGGATTGCTGTTCACATTGACCTGACCCTCCCACAGTTCCTTTAGTGTCACAAACACACTGTGCACACCCCTGTGGATTGCTCTGTGACAGATTGTAGAATCCCTGTTTGCACTGGTCACAGTTTTTGCCTTCCACATTGAGCTTACAGGTACATTCACCAGTAGTTTTGTCGCACTGATCCAAAAGCGATGATGGCGTACCAGCAATAGAGCAGTTGCATGATGAACAACCATTTGGTGTAAGGCTGTGGAAACCATCTTTACACTGATCACATTTGCGCCCAATCACTCCAGCTTTGCAAGAGCACTGCCCTGTAACTGAGTTACAAGTGTTTTCACTCCCAGCTGTTGTTCCAAACGGATCACAGTCACACTTCTTACAGCCTAAAGGTTCATGCCCGGACAGACCCCAGAACCCTGCCTTACATGTGTTACATGTTCTCCCTGTCACCCTATCTTTGCAGTAACACTGTCCTGATGTTCGGTGACATGAAATATTCCGGCTTATGGTGCCATCGAGAACACAGTCACATGAGATGCATCCAGTTGCATGGCTGGCTTTGAGATCATAGAATCCATCTTTACACTCATCACACTGACGGCCTTGGGTGTTGTCTTTACATACACACTGACCAGCAACTACACTTGAATTAGAATCATCCTATCCATCAAAAACAACATTAATCAAAAATAAATTCTCAAAATAGTCAGAGACCTGAATAGGCCCTTTGCAGTCACCAATCACATGGTGCATGCAATGCTCAGCTAATAACAAGATTTGCAGACTCAAACATAAAAAACAACACATCTTGATTCAAAAATTGTTTCCTTTGGATGTACTCACTGCAACATGCAATCTGCTCACCATTAAGGTGTTTCTTGTTTTATGTGATAGCTATTACTGCAAAGTGCCTATTTTCATATTTTCTATCAATAATGAATCAAAGACATAACTACATGGCTTTGCAGGATAAACTCCGCAAATTCCATAGTTAATTGCCCACAGTCTTCAGCAGAGGTTTGCACCATTAAACAGAGACAAGTGCAAGTGATTTCCTAACTCTGTGAGTTTGCAATGAATCCCTTTTACAATTTAGATCAGTGTGTATACCAGACTTGTAATTAGATAACTGACTCTTGCACAATACTTGAAAAACATCTCACCTACAATTGTATACTATAAATAGGTTTTTTTGAAATGGGCATATTGTGTTAAAACTATCATATTGTTTACACCAACTCATGTAAAGCTGAAATGCTTTGAAATTGATATTTACTGCAATATTTATAGCCATGACCAGCATTTCCCATTTATAACATAAATCCTGCTCATGAAGCACTACACACTCCATCTCCTAAGCAACACAAAAACTGATCATTACAAACCTTTACACAATCCAACTCTCCAGGCTCTGCCCCAGGCCCCTCGCACCCACAGAGTGAACATACGTCTGGCGACTTTAGACTCTTCCCAGACTCCCTGTAGAATCTCTCCTTGCACACATCACAGAAACGACCAGTAGTGTTGTGTTGACAGTCTATACACACACCCCCTCCCCCCTGGGTACGTGAGGCAGGGCTGGTGTCCAGAGTTTGATTGTAAAGACAACTGTTGGCATGATCATTACACTCGCACTTGACACAGGGGTATGAGTCATCATGTTCACCTCTTCTAAATGGTTTGTCATTGTATAATGGCTTGCAACGATTGCACTGAAATAGAAAAAAGGCAATACATATTAGAGACAAAAATCATACCTGAAATAACATCACTCATCATAGAATTTTTCAAAATTTTGTAATTACTATTTTCTAAGATTATAAAGAATAGTCTTTTATGTCAAGTCATGGTAAGTAAAACAGAGCTTTGTCACTTGACATGATCATCTAGCAAAACAGCAATTGAAAGATGACAGACTTTCAATGGGTGGTGTTTGTTCAGCCTCAACCATTTCACTTCCAGCAGTGAACAAGACACTCTACTTACAATTTTAATAGAATATCGAGCAGATAAGAGATGAGAATAAAGAAAAGCATAAATTACTGTATTAACATCAGATTCAACACAAAATTATTGAAACTCTAATTATAAGCAGTGCGTGGCAGAAATCAGGGAGAATTATTTGGTAGTGAAAGGGTTAAAGTACAGGTTTTTCAAACAAAATTGAATTGCACAACTAAAATGCAGGAAAAACACATCTTTGTTCATCAAAAAATTCTTACAGTTTCTCCCTCTGTGTTAGTTGATGGATGACAGTCACAAATACATCGTCCAATATGAGTATCATTCCCTTCAATGTAGCTGAAGGATGATGCATGACCAAAACACTCACACCTACAAAATAAGATATCTGGTCAGGACATCAAAGTTGGTGTTTGCACATATTAATTCAAATTACCTCAACACTGCACAAGACTACATGTGTCAAACCAAGTTAAAACTCCTTCTTATAGATTTAGTTTTCAATCTTTGACACCATCAACCCTGCCCATTTTTAGCTTTGTGAATAATCAATCTATTTTCAAGTCTCAAACAGATGGTGGCAAATTTTTAGGATCTGTTACCAGGCAGCTGACTAAAATTCCACACAGTGCTTTTGCTGACAAAGGATGATTTCCTATGAAGGCTTCAACTGTTTTACAATTGTACTCTGATGTAATAAAAAGATTGCCCACAAATAACTCTTCATGAATTTGCTAACCTGCCAGTAACAAGAATTCTTTCCAAGCCATAGTATCGGTGCAGAGGATTCTGTACCAAAGTGTGATTGTAAAAATTAAACTTGACATGAGTAGCTTTTAAGAACTGCAACAGTCTGTCTGAGCAGTAAAGATTACTGCACCCGGAACCAAATGGCCGCACTGGAATGTTGGAGCCAGGAGGTGGTGGATATTCTGTCTGAAAGGTCAACACTTCTCGGCTGGACTGCAAGGGTCTGAAATAAAACAATCATTACTACCAGGTAACAATTTGAACCAATCATTTTCCCACAATTTTCCAAACAAGTTCCAAGTCCAGTTTAACTGCAATCTATCAATAAAGGCCAGAAACTTGCTTCATTTTTTCCTGAATCAATAATGCTATTGTTAATGAGAAACAACAACTTACTTTATGTATTGGACACAGTTCACAGAGTCAGGTTGAGTCAATGGACCATTGTTTTGTAAATTAAATGAGGTCACACAATCCTCAGCAAAATACTGCCATGGCTCATAGGTGTGTCCACTGTCCACTGATCGCTCAATCTTTATTGCTCCTGGCACAGGCCCATAGAAAGTCAAGACAATGTAGAACACCTAATGCAGAAGTTAATAACTCATTTTTCACTTAAAGTGCATTTGGCATTTGTTAAAGGGGCTTGGTTGTAGTAAACCAATTGTTTATTTAATTAGTTTGCTGCAACAAATAAAATAGAGTAATAAAACTGATTTAAATTTATGAATTCATTAAAAAAAGAAAAGTCAAGGACTAAGAAATAATCAGTGGAGACTAATACCACAGAACTCAAGGTTATTGATGAACTCTGATATGGTAAACTTGAACATTTCCTCGACAAATTTCATTTAAAATTCATCCTTAAAAAGATTTTCTTACCCAACAAAAGAACACACATTCACTCTAATAATGGATTCATTCAGGAATCTCCAGCACCACCCTGAACTTTTAACTATGTAAACAACTAACTCATCTACAAAGCCAGTGGAACATGTATTCAGCTGACATCCCTTGGGGAAAGATGTGTTTTTCTAAATAAAATTTTGATCAGCAAAAAGAACTCTTTTTTCACAGTATCTTAACTCACAGTTGCAGAACCCACCTGTAATCCAGTATATGCCAAATTTACGCGAATGGTTGCATTTTCTGTGATCTCTGACAGCCAGAAACTGAGTGTGTCACCATCAGTGGCAAACTCAATTGGATGAGCTGTGTCTTTGAGTCGAGACAAGGTTTCGGTGTCTCCATCTAAGTTTTTCAGACACTTGGCTGGTTCAGCAACATTTATTTTTGGATGAGTTGGAGGACATCGACAATTACTGGCAACATAAACAGTTGGAAGAATACCTGTGAAAGCTTCTTCTGCTTCCCTGAGAAAAAACAAGCAATTTATATTTTTATGTCACATGCAGTTGGTCTTTTTTTCTAATCTTGGTTTTCTAATCTTGATTATTGTAAGGTTACTGATGAAAAATATAAGGACATATTCAGTGATTATTCAATATAATTGAGGATCTATTCCTTGTCATCTTTAACTTGTGTTAGGCTGCAAACAGACATTATTGTCCCAACTTTCTGTACCTGTTGGTCAAAGCTCTATCATACATGAAGATATCCTGCATCAGGCCTTCGTACTGCCACTCAGTATCACCTAAACACGACACAGAAGGGTTACAAAAAGTGAGGAAATCACTGACAATGACAATACTTCTTTATGTGACTATCTGACTGTACACATCATTAGCAGGGTTGTGTGCTGTTGACCCTTCCTTTAAATCTTGACAAATAGGTAGTATTGCGGGCAAAACATTTGTACAAATTAAACCCATCCCACAAGGACTAAAGAAAGATACCATGGGATCTGATGGAATCCCTTGGACAAATCTTTTGAAAGACTTACAAAGACTGTAAGTTCTTTCTTTTCTCAAACAGTTCCACACATCCTGATATGAGAGACAGCAAAGATTTGTCTAACCCAATTAAAACTCAAGTAATATCTGTCAGCAAGAATATACTGAAGTCCTCTCATCTCCCACTTCCATTTGAGCCAAAAAAAGTTTTTCTGCCACAAACCTCAAGAAATATCCCTGATTCCTTTGGGTGCTCTCTAGGTAAACCCTGAGGTTTACCTAAGGAATCACCAGATACATAAGAATTCAAGCAGTTCCAATATTTTGCTAGTTTCTACTCAAAACAAAAATGCAAAAACAGCCACTATATAAGCCTACAGTACACCTGCACAATGTTCTCTCAACAAATACAATGAATTACAGTCTACTATAACTCCCTCCCAGAAGCAAGTAGTTTTGATTTAGGAAAAGGAGTGCCATTCAGTACATTTATACTACATACTCTCAAATAATTTTCAAGGATATGAAAATTCAACTGAAGAGGGGAATTACTGACAATTACATCTCTTCAATTGATGGCAGAGGTAATTGACAGTTGATTGTAATCAAAGAGCGGTCACCTCCTTACCTCCATACTTCTGTCCAATTCGAATACCACCTCCAGAGTCACCAATATAATCACTCAGAGTCACAAAATTTGCATTCATAAGTTCACCATCAATGTAATATGACAGTGCTTTATCAATAACTGCTACAGTTATTAAATGCCACTCATTCGGTTGAAGCTTTTCACTTTGGCTTTGCAGAAGATTGTATGTAGCAACTGATGCATTCCCAGTGGCAGGTCGATAGTAAAACATCAAGTTATAGTCCTTGATAACAAGTTGAAAGACATTGGCAAAATTTGGAGGAGTAGTCTCATCTTTAGAAATAATTGTGCTGTTCAGAATAAACACAAGAAATCAAAAAATCAAAATGCACATCCAAAAATTTGTAATTTTACATACATTGACATGACTTTTTAATTTGATTAATTGTACAATGTCAAAAATCCTTCCAAATATTTTGACTGCAGTGAGACAGAATTAAAGCAAGATAATAAATTTTGAATGTGACAATGAAATAAAAACTGATTTTTCTTTTAACACTCAAGGATCACCAAAGATCTTTCAAGGATCTTTGGAAACCCCAAGTATTTTACAGGGTAGGTAATTTAGTGTTAACAACTGGATTGAAAACGTAAATTAGCCACCGTAAAGAGTAAAAAAGCTGACGTTTCGAGCGTTAGCCCTTCGTCAGAGCGATATCGCTCTGACTAAGGGCTAACGCTCGAAACGTCAGCTTTTTTACTCTTTATGGTGGCTAATTTACGTTTTCAACCCAGTTGTTAACACTAAATTACCTGCTATACCCTCCCACCGACGCAGCACCACAGTTTTTTTAGAAACTTACCCCTTTATTTTACAGGGTACCCCATCAGGGTTCATTCCAATAATCTCAAAAGTTCTAACAAACTTTTGGAAATCTCTCTCTTATGGAAGATGTAAAGTATTTGAGGATGTAATAAAATAAAACAAACCCTGAAATTTCCAAGAATAACTTTATGCCATATTTAAATTTGACAAAACCAGCAAAACCACCAGACAAAGTTCACTCCAGAGAAAGGAAATAATGAAGCTCTAATGTGCATGGTGAAATTAAAGACAGAAAATCCAATATATCGATTATGAGCATACTACCGGAGAAGAGGATGAGTCAATTTTTTTAATCTTATCTCTCCCTAAGTACAATTCCCTCAATTACATTACTTTTCTTTCTCATTCTCTGATCTGACAATGTTTTAAAATCATAGGGCAAGAACGCAAACAAACTCTTATTATAAATAACTTACCTTGGATATCATGTAAATATCAATTAATTTCCAGGATCGATTACATATACTTGATTGACTTGTTCGAAGTTATTTTGAGCTAATTAATTTCATGTACCTCTGAAAATGTTATTTTTGTTAATCGAACTTAATCGGAGAGAGTTGCATCTAGTTCGATAAAAACGGATTTACGACGGAGTACAATTTATCGATGTTAACGTTGATGTGCCCCCCAGCTGGAAAGTAACCTTAACATGGTAACATAAACTTACCCTTTGTTTCCTGCCTTCTGTTTAATCCAAACGCTGATAGTGAACCCAGGGTTCTGGAAGTTTATAAATGGAACCCTCAAAGGTTGTAGGTATGAATTACCTTGAAATCGAAATGATCTGACAATAGTTCCATTCCTCGGATCGCCATCTTGAGTGACTCCAACTTTATTTGAAGTAAGCGCTAAATCTGTGGGAACAGGCTTGGCTGAACCACAATTTGTACAACAAGCAAATTCACAGTTCTTTTCAACGCAAGTCGTCAAAGACGTCTGTTTAGCCAACGACTGGCAATATTTACTGGATGTTGCTCCACAAGTTGAAGAAGAAGTGATCGGTTTTAGCACTGCAAGATCCTCTAATTTCGGGAAATAGCCTTGGCCATATGTTGAAGAAAAGTTCCAAATAAGTAAAATGTAGATGTACAAAAATTTCCTTTCTAGTTTCCAACGAACTTTAAAAGACATCATATTTCTAAAATTGGTTATGTGGTATTCAGTTCAGCTAGTTCTACTTGACATCGAGTGGGATCGGATACAAGAAACAAACAACGAATATTGGAAGGCGAACCCGTTCGAATGTAGATGGTCTGTCACCTCTGATTCACGCACATACATCTAATGAAGTCTTCCATCGTGCAATCGATTTAAAGACAGTGTTATTTACAACTTTACAATCTCTGCAACGATGATATGCTTTGGTATGTACAGCGCACATTAAATTGCAGATGACGCCGGTTGCTCCGTTTTGATTGGTTAGTCTATCCAATTCGGTTAAGTCTTAGCAACAGAAAACCATTAGACAACAAAAAACGTTTGATTAAGATTTCGTTAGGGTATTCACAGTTTAAAAACAAAAACAGAAATTATTGCAAGGTCAATTCTATATTTTATAGTTTATATTTTAAATAAAAACCACTGCGGCCAGTGAGTAAGACAAACAAAGCGCTCAGGAACTGCTTCCCTATCAACAGAACATCAAAGGGAACATTGGATTATCCATATTTGGAAAGCTAGGTAACCAGGTCGTGCGAGTGCCAAAATGGCGGCTTCTTCAGTGCCGTTTTATCCTCGAGTTAGAGAACCTTCTCCCTCACCTAATCGTTCAACCATGACATTGTGCAGCGTAGAAAGAAGTTTAAAATCCTGTTCAAAGGGTCGTTTGACTTATGACCCTCACTGGAAGCCGACAAGGGAAAACTTGGAGGAATTATCAAAGCCCCCTTCCTTGTCACTAAAGCTGTCCCCTGTTTCGCTATCATCGACCACACGTACAAGTAACAAAAGAGACGGTAATGTAATCTTCAGTGGCGAATTAGCAGAATCAAAAGATATAGAGGAATCAAACCAAACCGATGGCATGTCCTCTAGCAGCTATCGATCGGACACAGAAAGCGATTCGGAAAAAGAAACACGTGCTTCAAATGTACAAGTACCTATGCATGAGGAGTTGCTGGAGAAAGAACTTCAAGCAAGCTTCGATTGGATACATGTCGCTGTTTATAATTACGGAATGGAAAAGAAACGCCAAGCTGAAGAGGAGATAGCCACAAGAAAAAAAAAGATGGCAGAAAATTCAAAGAGATTGTGGGAGGAGAAAAATCGTTATTTACAACAAAAAGAGCACGAAAGGGTGGACGAAATGATCAAATCTGTGCAGGCATTACAGCGGGACGAGGAGAGAAAAACTGAAGAAGCCAAACAACGGCAACAGGAACTTAAACAGTCTCACGAAGCGTCGGCTGCGAGAGTTGTTAGAAAAGTTAAAGAAATGGAAGATTTAAGGTTAAGATTGTTAAAAGAGGAACAGCAAGTCAAGAGAGGGCTACAACAGCTTGAGGCTTCATGCATAACTGTGAAAGAAACTGCACAAAATATAGAACAAATTTTCAAAGAATGCAAATTTCAATCATATTTGTCTACCTCTGCTTCAGACATCCTCAGTGAGACGAAGGAGGTGTTGAAGTTGTCCCTAAGCAATCTTAATAGTGCAAAAGAAAATGAGCGAGTGACAGAAGGAATTGGTGAGATTATGCAGAAATGTTTAATTCTTATTCCTGACTTGTTACAGAAAGCAAAAGAACTTGTTAATGAGGCAAATACCAAGGCTGCTAAGGATGAAGCTGATCGACAAATCAAGGAAGAGGCAAAAGCCAAAGAGGAAGAGGAAAAAAAACAACAAGCATTGAAAACTTCACAAGAAAAACAAACCGTCAGCTCCTCCACATCAAAACCAACTTCCAACTCCAGCGTTCAATCAAAGACTGGGATATCAAAAGATCTTGCTTCCTGTATTTCAGCAACAGCATGGAAAGAGTTTTCCAGACTAGCAAGTTACAGAAGTGCTATTGTCAAAGAAGCAGAGCCACTGAATACTGACAAGACATTGAAGCAATATAAATTTGACCTTCACAAGGCTGTCACAACACCAATCAATGCTATATCTGACCAGTCACCCCGTCACCTGCGTGATAAGATTCAGCGCTTGGCTCAATTGTTGTCTGGGCAAGCTGTACAAATGGGAGGAAAACAGATCTCAATTATCAAGCATCCTGCAGCTAAGGTAAAATCATCTTTTCCAACTCTCTTCATCCTAAGATCTGTGTTCATATTCTCCATAGCACTGCAAGGAGAATTTGTTTAACAGTTAAGAGCTCCTCCAGATAATTTATTTTACATGTACTCTCATTTCCTAATGTTTGATTCAACAATGATCCTGAAAGGAGAAATTAGCTACTGGTCTAAGGAAGTTGAAGGATTAATGATACAAGTGGAAGTAGTACCTGAGTTTTTGTACCTATAAAGCTAAACTTGGATGACTTTTCAGTTATTTTGATTTTTTTTACCAACAGTTAAGGTGGAAAAAGACTTTTAATGCCATTTCTTTGTTTTCATTATGATTGCTTAATTCACTGCTCCATCAGTCAGATTGTGCAGAATATTTTATTTCTTATATTTTGAAAATAATTAAAAAATCGTTACTGGCTCATGCTTTTAGCTGTTTGTAATACTTTGAACTTCAATTGCAGTCATTCTGTAAAGATCTCCTTGCAAAGAAACTTGTGCAACAAGGATCACAGCAGGTTTCTTCTAGTCATAGTTCTGCATTTCCTATTGCTGCTGTTATTGTGGGAATCTGGTCCAGGTTTCCTGACATTGGTGATCTCGTTCTAGCGCAGTTCTGTGACCAGTGTCCATTCCTAGTGCCGTTTTACATACCAAGGACAGCTGAATTGACAGATGTAGAATACTTTGCATCACTTGGCTATCAGTGTTCTGAGGGTGAGATTGAAGAACAAGACAAATTTCTAAAGCGCATGACTGGCATTGTGCGACTATATGCAGCTGTTATCTCATCTCTACCTCCACAAGGACAATCCCAACAACACCCTTTTGGACTTGAAAAAGGTTGGACGTGGTTGGCAAGAATGCTGAACCTAGACCCAAGGCCTGATTACACTGCTACAGCTCTCTATGAATTCCTGGCTGTGGCAGGACATGCTCTGATGAGGCAGTACAAGAAACAATTTGGAAAACTGCTGAATATACTTGTGTTAGAATATGTGCCCAAGATAGAGAAGGTAACTGCTAAGGCACAGAGTGGACCTGTGGTGAGACTTAAAGTGTTTTTGGAAACATGTATTAAAGATCAAAAGATTCCAGTTCCAGACGGCTACCTCACTCCCAATTGGTGGCGGTCCCCAAGCTATTAGGACAGTTTCCCAACCCGATAACTCTTGGACGTGATACAAATGTATCCACTCCTAATAATGTATTCTCCAGCCGACAGTTGATGAAAAAGAAAAATGTATTAGCTGGAGGGTGTTTCCAGTATCTTGACTTAAAACAAAATTTTCTGACATTATTTAGAAGGAATGTTTAGCAGCTGGAAAGGAGAATCACAAATGAGATCAGAGTGCAAAGCTTTCTCTGAGAATAATAAGGTAGCAAGCTGACCCACAATAACATGGAAATGTTTACACTGGGGCCAATATTAGAAAAAATGAACATAACATGTACTTTTGGGTGTCTCTAAGCCACAACTTTCCCAGTTTTTTATTTTTTAATTCTGACTTCACAGTTCAATATATTAATCACTGCACAATTTATAGCGAAAGAGCTGAAGGACAATTTAAGTGGATCTTCACTTTTTCAGCTTTGCTTCTTATTATTTTATGTGATAATGCTAACAAACAACCGCAACATATCTCCAAAAGAAACCCTGCATTTTCTCTGATACTTTGCCAACAACACTGTGTGGATAATCCTGACTGGTTGCTTTCTCTTTACCTTTGTTTTTTTACTCCAAGGAAAGAGCCAACAAGAAGGAAGAAACTAAACTGCATACAATAGATATGACTAGTATGTGGTTTTCAATTTCTCTAAGGTCATGAACCTGATCATGGTAGATCCATCAACCAATCAAAATCAGGTTTGCAGTCTCCGAGTCTCACAGTCACAGTGATCTGTTGTTTCAGTATTCATTTAATTTAATATTTTCAACTCCCCAAACTGCTTGTCACTGGGAGCCATAACCATTGTGAGAATTTGGCAGCAAGCTTGCTTTGTCATTCATCATGTTTTCTTGATGGACAGAGTGAACGTCAGATTCAATAATAATTTAAAATGAGGCCAAGTGATTTAACTCGAAACAGTGTTACTTGATAGTCAAAATATTGGTATGGTACACATGCAAGAGCTACTTTGAAAGAGGGGGTAAGTTTCTGAACAAAATGTGGTGCTGTGTTAGTGAGAGAGTAAAACAAGAAAATCTGGTTTTATTAACCGAGTTGATAATATAAATTGGCCACCATGAAAAGTTTCAAAGCTGATGTTTCAGGCATTAAACCTTTTCAGAGGGAATGACGAATAAAATTCACTCTAAACAAGGGCTAATGCTTAAAATTTCAGCTTTGGAAAATTATCAACTCAGTTTATAAAACCAAATTATCCCACAGAATTTGTTCACTCTGAGCACCAATTCTTTGATGAATTAACTCCACCATAACTTTAGCATATAGCCATCATTCCTCACCTTCTGCCCATCCAATTACTACTTGACCCTACTTCTGACACTTGCCAGTAGAACGGACATAATTTTTTGGCATTTTTCAGTGGAATGGAGGCAAGCATGAAGTGCCAGTCATGTGTGATTGGAGGAGTGTAAAAAATTATTTTTAAGGTATTCTTTCACCTTCCTCCCCTCATTTATGACTTGTGCTTTGGAATGGCCTAATGATTGTCTCCATTTGCCTGTGAAATGCAAAAATCTTATGCTTGTTTTGCAGGCTATCTGATACTGGATAGCAAAATACAATGTGGCCCCCATTTTGACCAGCTTACAGCTGAACTAGGCCAGCCTGGTTAAACAATGATAATAAACAAACAAACAAGTCAAACCCAAAATGCAAAGGAGCATGAAAGTTTATTTCTTAGAAACTACTGTTTTACAGTTTTACTATGAAGAGCAGAATTTTCATGACAGCTGACCACAATTAGCGATGACCACTGTCTTGCTAGTTTTGCCTGAACGGGAACCAACACCCTCCATTTTCGTTACAACATCCATTCCTTCCACCACACTTCCAAACACCACATGCTTCCCATCCAAATGATCGGTTTTCGCCGTGCAAATGAAGAACTGAGACCCATTTGTGTTTGGACCAGCATTTGCCATGGATAGAATTCCTAAAAGAAAGAAAAGTATACAGGAAAGAGTGAATAGAGGCTATACTGTTTAATACAGATTAACAACAGATTGCAGAATACTTGGGTTTGGAAAGTAATCTCTGAAAAAACTGATTTCGCCACTGTATGCTCAGGGATTGGTGCCAGAATATTGTAGCATTATAGAACCAGTGATGAGAAGAAGGATGTAATGTAAACTTGGGGGTATTATTCGATTAACAAACTAGTCAGAGCAGTTTTTGGTGGAGTTTTGAAAAGCCAAAACCACAGTAATCACAGTAGCCAATGGAAGTTAAGGTTGAGATCAGCAAGTTTCCTGGACCAATCACAGACCAAAGTTAAGCAAAACCAAAGTTATCATGGATTTCTTTCCAAGCTTGATTTAAAACTGCTCTTTTGGCAGGGTTCGAGTTATAGAAAAAAAGCATACAACGTAAGACTAACAATGAATGAATATAACTGTTATCTGGATCTTGGTCAAAGATGCAACAAAGATTAGGCTTTTCACAGGCAAACAATTAATTATGCATGAAAAGAGTAAGTTTCTGAGAAACTATGGTGCTGCATTGGTGGGAGAGTATAACAGGGTAATTTAGTATTGTCAACTGAGTTGATAATGTAAATTGGCCACTGTAAAGAGTTTAAAAGCTGACGTTTTGATCAGTAGCCCTTTGTCAGAGTGATTGGAGGAATTGTGGCTTGTGTGAAAAAACAAGAATAAATTAGTTGAATGAAAAGCACTTGTTGATACAATGGAGATTGAGAGTGTTGATTTGAAAGAAAAATTTTTGTTATAGAATTTTGTGGCTTTCTGAATTGCCTAGATCTAGAGAAAGGCTAATTAATGGTTACTAATTACTAATTATGTTCTTTGTTAATTACCACTCTGTGAAATGTTTTAAGCCAGTGCTTCAAATGACCAGACCTAATGCATGCATTCCATGAAGAAACTTAACTTAATTGTCTTTGCCGAGGTTTGAACCTCAAGGATAAATAAATTGGGTTAAAAAGGAGAGCAAGTTCGGTTAGCATACTCAGAGCTCGTTCAGAGAGCATGGAAGTATTTTAAGCTCCCTGAAAATAAATGTATATATATTCTTTATGTGTTCCTCCAGTAAATTCCTCCAGTAAAAGAGTATCTTAAACATTTGCATTCTCATATTTGGCTGTGAGGCAAACACCTTTTAAATAAAACATTTCAAAGATCCATTTTTTCCATCTGACAACTGAAGAATGTGCTATTCGTCAAGAGTGCCTGTTTACAGTATTTACCTGTGTATAATATGCGCCTATGTATAATACACACCCTTGTTTTTAACCAAATTTTTCAGAAAAAAAAGTTTTCACAGCAAAATGTAATCCAGGCTAATATATTCATTTCCAACTCAAGCCATGCAGCTTTCTTACCATGGTTTGCCTGTTTGAGCCAAGGCATATTTTCCAAGTTCTCTTTACTTTTTCACCACAACCTGACTAAACATTCCAAGACTCCAAATTCTCATTCAGCAGCACAGTTTCCAGTTTGCTCTGCAAACTGGATAATTCTGAGCTTTTCAGACACTGTGTAGCTTTAACGTTTAGCCATGGTAAGTTTTGTTTCCATACTGAATTTCTGATTGCTTGTGATAAAAGTAATACAGTGTGATCATGATGTTTATCTTGTCAGCTGTTTGCTAAATACTCCACTAAATCTTTTCATGGATCGAAATTGAAAATGTTTCACAGGTAGATTATTAAACTTAAGCTAATAAAGACCAATTATTACCAAGCTTTTGTTACTTTTTTGGTTGTGTTTTTAACGTATGCAAATTAAAACACACCTGACAAACAGTAGAATCTGTGCATAATACACACTGCAACTTTGATGGTAATTTTTATAGAAATACAGTGCATATTATACATGGGTTAATACCATACAAATGCTTATGAAGTATCAATGGAAATTACATTTTGCCCTATTCTTGCAACAAATAAATCTAATGAAGATTAAAGGGTAAAAAGAATTAAACAGTATTTACAAAGTAGTTGTTTCAATGAAGTGGTCACTTAAAGAATGATTGCTGGAGATGGTTGACTTAAGTAATGACAAAAGCAGTAACTTTATTAAACATAAACTTTTAAAATTAAAAAAATTACCTTCACAAGGTAACACCATAACTAACCTTTACCAGTGTGTTTCAGTGAAAAATTTTCATCTGCAAATTTTTCACCGTAAATGGACTTGCCCCCAGTTCCATCTCCTCTGGTGAAATCCCCACCCTAGGAGATTTAAGGACAAAATGACAAAAAGGAATACACTTTGAAAATGGAGCCAGAGTTTTGATGCTTTTGGAGACTCCACAGGAATTTTTGACAGAATGAGATCTTTAACCCTTTAACTCCCAAGATCTCCTTAGTAATTCTCCCTACTGTTTGTCAAATAGTTCTTGTGATGTTAGTTTTGAGAATTTGGTATTGCATCAACTAATAATTCCCTAATTAATATTTTTATTTATTCTCATCACTTGTCTGCTTGATATTGTGTTGATATTGTAAGGAGAAATTCTGTCTTGGTCACTCAGGAGTTAAAGGGTTAAACTATTTGACCCCTTGGAGTGATCTTAGGGGTCTAATTTCTCCTTACAACATCTCCCCTGTATCACATATTGAGGTCACGAGAATAAAGTAAATGATCACCAACCAAAGAAGCTCTTGATTGTTAAATAAAATATCCTTTTCAGCATCTTAGGAAAGGAGTGCAGAACAGTATGGAGAATATGCTTACTGATGCTTAGAGTGTAGAGGGTTAAGCTAAATTGCCAAAGCTGAGCCCTTGAATAAAGACAGAAATTAAAAATTTGTTTCTCTAGGAAAAACTAACCTGGCACATGAAGCCTGGAATAATACGATGAAATTTACTCTCCTTGAAGCCAAACCCTTTCTCTCCAGTACACAAAGCACGGAAGTTCTCTGAAAAATGGAGATGATTAGTTAGTGTTAACAATCCACTTCTTTGTTACTCTAACAGGAGATCCCAGCAATTGTTAAAGATTAACACTACCACCTATTGCAAGTTATCAGGGTTCTTCTTCTCTCAGTAAGTGTATGATAAAATGCTTTTGGATATTACCGTAAATTTCCTCTCAATTTCAAATATTCAGGCGATGTCATTACTTGTGAGCGTGTCCTGTGGCCAATACAAAAACAATTTTACGGTGTACTTCACCGAAGGTACCCTCAACGATCAACAGGTTGGTAAACACATGTAAAGTTACCGAGTTCCCAAAGAGAGAGAGAGGGAGAGAGAGAGTTTTCATAAAGTTTTCCAATCCTTTGTGCTAAACGAGGTTCACAACTATTTGTAAAAACCATATTGTACTATCAAACGCCAAATAAGAAAGCCCTGGGTTTTTTTAAACAATTTATTGCATGAAAAGGTGTTAAATTGGCGATTTAGATCATTTGCAGAACGTCCTTGGTTTGCGACTGAACAAACTCTTCATCTCGCGCCTTCCTTCGGATTTCAAGCGCCCCTCGAGAATGAAAGAACAAAGTGCTACCTGAAGGTGTTCAAACTAGTTGTTGTAATAACATACCTGCAGTCTTCGGAACTACATCGGCTCTAAGCTGCAAGGCAAAGATGTAAAGTAATTGTACTCATGTTAGAGGATATATAAGTTAAAATATCGTAGATCGATCTATATATGTATATATGTATCTCGCTGTGGCAACTCCTCAGTCCGTGAGGTGCGTGAGTTGAGCAAAACAGATGAACCTATCATCAGCATATATAATTCGTCTGGCCTTACGTTGACAAAAGATAAGGAGCATTGATTCTTCAATTAGTATGTTTCCATGCTTTTTCGACGCAGAATTCTGATTAAGATATTTCAAACGATGCTTTTTCCGGTTTCCTGTCAATTTTCTCTTTCGCTATTATCGTCGGATTTAGTCGTCGCGTGTTAAACGCTCACATAGTCAAGCGTCTAGTTTGTTCCACAAACCTCAAACACAATACGTCCGGCTGGCGCTCCATCAATGGAAATATCGAAATAAACCTTTGGTCTGGCCATGACTGCACTAACAAACTGCTGTACTAGAGAGCGAGTTCTTTATGATGGCAGCTTCGGTGAGGAGAAGGGCACGTGTGTAGAAGAAATAACCGTGAGTGATTCGATGGTTCGACCACCCCAGCAAGCATTGAGGATGAATAACGATATTTGATTCGTACACAAGACAATAGCTGTCAGATCGGGAAATAACATTACTAATTACAAAGACTTCTATGGGAGAGGCAGGGAACAATTTTGTGTAGTGATCGTGTAAAGAAAATTATTAGTTATTACTAAAAATGGAGCTACAATGTCCATGCATCTTCTTACGAATATATTCCACGCGTTGGTATGGTGAAAATAGCCGAAAATGCTCCAAATAATTTTACTGTTCAACCTGGAGTGAGGTTTACCGGTTAAGTGCCATCGAAAAAAGTGGGCGGGGAAGGGGCGGAGAGAGGGCGAGATAACCTTTTCTTAGTTCCCCTCAAAGTTAGTTAAGAATAGAGGCTTTTTTCAACAACGCGACTATAGAATAAGAATGGAAACAATAAAAAGTAAGTTGATAAGTAGAGGTAATCACATGATTTCGAGTGCAATTTGGAATAAATAAGCACGAGATGTAATTTCTGACGGTTGAGTGACTAGGAACGAATTAGTCAGAAATTACTATTCTGATGGCACGATGGAGAGGTTTTAGTATTCTCAGGGGAGAGTTTTGAGTATTTAATGTTTTAGCGGGGAATATTAATCATTCTAGCTCAGTCAGTCTTTCTGTTTGCTGTTGTCAATTTAGTTAAATTTTTTTCTATGGAGTTATGGGTTTGTTTGTACCTCTTCCCCGAGGTTCCGTGCCACTGCATTAGATGGGGAATACGTTTCCACATATTTTTTGGCCACATCTAAAGAGTGGTTTTTTAGTGGTTTTTCGTATCTGGCGTGGTACACTTAATTTTTCAAGCTTTTCAAGTTAGACTTGCTAGCATATTCTATGTTGTAATAAGTATATATTACGACACATTGTTGTTGTCGGATGACTGACTGACCATTCCTCAATAAACTATTTCACATTGAATGTTTCGTGATAGTGTAGTCAGAATTAAATATTTTCAACGACTGACTTTACAAGTGCTTATTTATTCCAAATTGCACGGGAAAAATTATGTGATTACGTATTAATAGTATACATGGAAAATACGAGATAGCTTATTATAGTGATGCAGAAGCAAAGTGCGCGTATCAAGTGCAAAAATAATTATTCAAACCGTGCGTTTGGTCAAAACAACCGCTTACGATCAAAACAATAATATACAATGATATTTTCACATCTTTAAGGCGCAAAAAGGTTCAAAGTCCGGCTAAACTGTGACAACGAATACATCGGACAGACCAAACGCCAGTTTGGTACACGGTTAAAAGAGCACCAAAAAGCGGTTTTTCTTTGCAAAAAGGAAAATTCAGCTTTATCGGAGCATACTTGCCTAATCAACCATACAATTGGGTGGGATAATTCTAAAATTATCACCACTAATCGGCGTTACCACCAGCGCCTTTGTTTGGAGGCTTGGCACATTAACTCCGCCCACGCTCCTTTAAATCGTGACGATGGCGGTCTGCTTCCTGACGCCTATTTACACCTCGTCAGAAAAAAAGACCGCTAATTAGTGATCATATAAAAGGACCTCTTGTTGCAGCGTTTAGATCACCCCTGATGAAGGCACTAGACAGGAGTGTCGAAACGTTGGGTCTATGAATTGTAACTTCTTCGGTTACATTCATTAAATCTGCAAACCAGTGTAGCATCAAACTATGTCCGGCTAAACAGTTCAAGGAATTATTCAGTCTGGTTTGTTACTTCTTTGCACTGAATTAACCCTCTTCTGCATTGAATTACCTTAAAAACCGCATTCATTGTAACCAATCAGAACCGACTAATTTTTTCATGTATCTTGTTAAGATTAAGATAAAGCAGCAATAAAGACAGCTCAGTCTTTCCGATGCAAACTTACCCAATACAACTCATGGGGTAGGAAAGAATAACAAAAAAGAGGAAAAACCCCCTGGGAGAATTAAGGCCAGGGTCACGTGATGTCATTTATAGACCTTTCATTTGGTGTTCATGATTATTATCCTTTTAGGTGCATAAAAATAAACCTCCTTAAGCCTTTGAATGAAAATTGAACTGTTCTTTAACACTCGTCCTGACCAGAAAGGCTTGTATTTATGAATAAATTATAGGAGAAAGGCATTCAGGCCCTCCATTTGTAAAAGAGGTCTAAGCTCTAGATCTGGACAGAAGGATGAGGTGGTCAGATTGTTGTGGTTGATTTCTAAATGCAAATAATAGCTGTTACACAGCAATTCAAGATAATAATTTTTAAGTTCTTTTGGAATGCAGTTGGAATAAAATTGATTTGAGTCAAAAGGCCAGGGCAGTTGCATTTTGTAGGTTGAGTACAAAGTAAGTTGTAAATCAAAGATATGATTGTTTATCCTGATTATTATCACTGAATGTTTAAGTGAATTTCTCACAATCAAACAATATGCTACATTTCAGATAGCCATGCCTAATCATTCAACCTAATCACCTGATAAAGACTGGCAGTTAACCTGTAAGAACCTGTGACTTTCAGAGAGTCACAGGGTAACATCATGTAATGATGGCTACATAGATTAGCTTACGGTGCTCAACAAAACAAATGCACAAATACCACATGTAACAATTCCAAGTGTTTATTACGAAGATACAAAGGTGTGACATACATAGCAGTTAAAACCTGGTTTGGTAGTAAAAATTTCTGACTGCTGGACCTTAAGTCCATTTGAGACCATGCCTGGCTGTCTGACCAGAAGTGTAGAATTCTGGGTGTCAACAACCATGCAATATTACGGTAAGCACAAGCTCAGAACATTTATCCACTAGAACAGCAAACTAATTTTTGGAATGGCTTGACATTCTTAAACAAACATTTGATATTCTCAAGAAGTTTGAAAGAACCTTTTGGGAAAATTTCTGACTGCAGGGCATTTAGTCTATTTGAGACCATGCCCAGCTGTCAGGCAATTATCACTGCCTGGCAATTGTCACAACAAAAACAAAAGACAGAAAGATTATCAAAGACTGAAGTTTTTGACATTTTTTAAAACTATTTTTATCAAATTTTTATGTTTATTCTTATTTTTTTGAAATTCCACAATGTTCCAGCATGTTCCGATGTTCCAGCATGTTCCAGCATGTTCTGGCACATTGTTGGATGTTCTGGCATGTTCCAGCATGTTCTGGTTTTCCAGGTTTTAGCACAGGCCATCACAACCTTGCCATCCTAGTCTGATAGCTACAACTGATAGCAACTCTTAGCTGTGACAAAAATAGTTCAAACTTCACATAAAGTTAAGATTGAAAAAATGGATTTGAGGATTTCAGATCATCCAGCAATGATTGCACCAGGTCGCTAGTGGTAAATTTCTTCTCCAGCATGTCCTCAACAAGGAAATTTGGTTCTCTTCCACCTCCATAAGCCAGCATAGTGTGACGATATCTTTCACCCATTTCTCGTGAAAAAGGATCATTGGCAAAGCACTGATGCCAGATACGTGATGCTACAGCTCTGGACCACAAGTATGAATAATACTTTGCTCCATAACCATTGAGATGGCTGAACCTCTGTTGCCAAGCTGTCCCTAAAATTATATGATTCAAAAGGAGGATCATGTACCAGAAATGAACTTGAGAATCGGAACCTTCTCAGGTTGGTGTCAGCCAAAAGTGGACGGTGGACACTTTTGGGCCGATTTCTGGTAGAGTACTCAGCCTTTGAATGTAATAAAGTGTATTCTTTGCCCAGCTAATGTACTACTCCTGGAATATTTTAAAAGAGAGCTCTACGATTTGACTTAACCAACACCTTTTGTGGCTTAACCATTTAAACCTTAGAGTGACTAGCAACTAATTTGTCCTTACAGTAATACTACACAATCATGAGAATAAAGGAAAAGATTGCCAATAATATAAGAAGCTTTGATTGTTAAACTAATTCTCATTGTCACAACTGAAACAAATGTAAAGAGAAGAGTGTGGAGAATATATATTATTCTGTTATGGTGAGAAGGGTTAAGAGAGAAAATTGTGACCTGGTGGTTAGAGTAGTGGACTGGATCAAGATGTTCATATTTAGCCCAGGCAGGTGTCACTGTGCTGTGTTCTTTGGCAAGACACCTGCTTCTTTTCACTTAGTAGTACCACAGGATTTCCAATTAATTGTCAATTGTTACTGGAAGCAGGATGGGCCTCCTGGCTCATTTAGCAATTTGAAAATTTTCAACTTGCCTTAGAAAAGATCGTATCACAGCTGACAATCAATGGAGGTTTTCTCACAACTGATAACAAATTTTGGGTTATTCTGCCCTCATGTACAGTACTTTGCCAGCTGCACAACCTTACAGTGCAATTACCATCTTATTAAAAAGTCTTGACAAAGGGAAGTTACAATGTCCAAAATGCTGGCTCATGCTGAGTCAGTTGCTTTAAAAGTATTCACCCAATTGTATGCACATGGAGAGATATCAACAAAAGAACCACAGATTGTGTCTAATTTGGACCAATCACAGCAAAGTTTCAATTGGAAATTAAAGTATTGGAATTATTGCTAAAAATGAAAGCCACTTAAATCCGTTAATAAAACCTACACACACACACACACACAACCTACCTGGTGCATGTGGTATCAGTGTGTACTTCTCTTGAACTTGGGCCAGAATATCTGTAGTAGATCCACCTAATGGGTGCTTACTGTGATAAATCTGATCAATCATTGCATAGAGAACCTGCCTCTGCATCTCCAAAGCTCCAAACATTGTCCGCCCTTGACAGAGGCGCTGTGCAAATTCCTCTGGCAGGCTTTGCCCAGTTTTATGATGACGGGCAAACTTCATCAACACTCTTGGGTCCCATGCAAAGTACTCCATGAGTACTGAAGGAACCTCAGCAAAGTCTGTGGAACACCTGGTACCTGTCACATGTTGATACTGAGTGCGGGCCAGCATGGAATGCATTGCATGACCCATTTCATGAAACAAGTTTTCTACCATGCTATGACTGAGAAGTGGAGGGGAAGACACCCCAGGGGAAGGAAAGTTGCACACCACAACAACAATGGGAAGCTGGTAGGATCCATCATCAAGTTCTCGACCACCTAGAAGTGAGATAAAGACAATACTAATGCACTAAGTACAATAAACTTTCACAGATACAACATGAAAGCAAAACTTTAGCTTGCTGTGTTCATTACTTCATAGAACAAAAAATTTATTTTGCAATTATATAATTAAATAATTAATTAGTACCAGTAATTTCCTGAAAGACTCTCTTCCAGTGAAGGAGTAATCAAGGATCAGATGCACTTCTTCTTTGCAGTCACTTTTAAGAATGAGATGTGCTTAACACAAGTTTAGCTAACAAAAGCAGATATACGTGTATGGTGTACTTCTTGCTGTCAGTGTGTTAGCTCACTTTCACTCACACTTTTCTACACTAAACAGACAAAGCTCAGAAAGCCTTGAAAGTTATAATTTGGCAAAATTTCTTGAGCACAGATATTGAGAAATACAAGATGGAAACAAACTTTAATATAGTCACAATATAGACACAGCTGGACTCTAAGCTACCTATAAGAAATCAAAGACTTATGAGAGGGAATTGTTGCGATGTCTTTCAACAGTTTCCTAGTTTCCAATCTCTGTGCAGCATTAGCATTTAAGTTTCTTCACCAGTCAATTATGAGTCAGATTTTTAGAGTATCTATAAGTCACTTTGTATTAGTATTCTTACTGCCAGGTATCTTCTTGCTGTTTCTTTGTTTGATTTTAATTTACATCGTTTGTTACCATTGTAAACAGTCACTCATGTCATTTCTTCATGTATTTCAGAAACCACTGGTTAAGTAACTAAATCCTAAAAATCTAGGATGCGTTTGCTAAAGTCATCGTATTTCTACATGTATCCTACCTCTTATAGTGAAGTGTGAATCTTGCTGTAATTTCTCTGCTCTGTTGAAGAAGTCACAATAGATGTAACCCAGGAGTCCCTCTGTCTCATGTACCACACCCAATTTTTGGACATCAGAAGACCACAATTCTCCCTCAGCTGGTTCCTGAGCTTCTAATGTTATTCCAAACAGAGCCCTGAATAACAAATCCAACCCATCCATGCAAGCTCCGAGTGGAAAGTATGCTGATATAGATGAACTGTTTATCTTTGCTGATTGATATTTAGCTATACCTGAGTAGTAGTGCAGATCCCATGGCATGATTTCCTTTAAGTTTTGATCTTTCGTCATCTCTCTCTTCAACCTGGTCAATAATTGCATTTCCGTATGTGCTGGTTTGAGAAGTACATTTGCAGCTTGTTTTAAAAAGTCCATGACATTTTCTGGAGATTTTGCCATTGTTCCAGTTAATGCACGATGAGAATAGCTTGGATAGTTTACCAGCTGAGCAAGTTGATGGCGCAAGGTAAGAAGTAAATCCAGAGTTTTGCATTGTGATTCTACTGGCTTCAAGCAGGTCAAATATGCCAATTCACGCAACTTCTCATTATTAGAGTCCAGAAATGCAGAGTCTATAAAGACATGATCACCATCCACTGGGTAGATACGAGCAAGTTCATCACCCAATGGCAAATGGGAGATTGGAACTTGAACAGGAGATGCTGCTGCATGAGAGAACTGTGCACCAATAACTAACAAAGCCTCCTGAAGCTCAACAAAATGCCTGCGTTTCACTTCCTCTAGGTGAATACCGCTCTGTTCAAAATCAAATAAAAATAACTCCCCAACTCTTCTTGTTTCCTCATTCATCTGATGTGTGTCAGTGGAGAGAAGCTTCCTCAATGCATGGTAAAGACCAGGATTGGTGTTAAGCTCTTCCACATAGCCACTTATGCCCCTCGAAGTGTCTTCTGCTGCTCCTCTAACCTGATCATCTGGATGTGTCAATCTCACAAATTCTGCCAAATCAGCCGCGGCACACAGAGTATCAGACAGCTTATCAAACAGCCCTACTAACCGAGGGGTTGGGTTTGACTCCAACACCTCGTTAACAATTTTAACACCTTCTGACAAGGCTCGATTTTTTAGAACTAAAAATCCAGACGAACTAGTCAACTCTTGCACACTAAAAAGACCAGTTGGCTCTAAACACCGGTCCTGTTTAGGGTGGGGAGAATTAAAAGCTGTAGCTAATGGACTCCAAGTTGTCACAGTGAATTTTGTCTGCTGTACTAAAGGTGGTACATTTCTCCTCCACCGAAAGGCTAAACAATCATTTCTTAGAAAAAATCTTGAAGTTAACAAGGTCCTCATGATCTCAAAATGGTTGAAGAAGCTAAAATTTCGGTTATTATTAACAAAAACGACGTTACAGAAACTCCGTACAATTTTGCGCCATCTTGCTTTTCACTTAAGATCTGTGTATGTCGTATAAGACCAAGCATAATGTCACGACAGGCCTGACGTCGTTTGCATATCTCTGTCAGTATATGACACCTGCGTACCTACCCCTCCCCTAAGCCAGCTACAATGTTAAAAAATAAATAAATAAATAAACAAAAAAACAACAAAAATAGAGAAAAAAATAGGGAAAGACAAACAAATAAATAGAAAGCAGAAACAACAAAAAGACACCAACAATGATAACAACTTTGTTAGAGGTAATGTTAGGTTAGGGGAAGGGTAGGTGCGCAGTTGCTCAGACACTAACATTAAGCTGAAAATTCCCTCTCCCGTACATAGATCAGTACATCACAATCACTCGTCACGAGGGAAGATAGAACTTACCTGCGGAAGAAAAGACACATTTTAGGCCCACCAAACATGTTCCTCTTCGTAGCAATCCTCGCTGTAATTCTGATTATAATCTTTGTCCTGGACTGTGATTTTATTCTCAAATTCCACGAGCAGTTTGGGGCTAAACCGGAGGAGAAACTTCGCGGTAAAGTGGTTTGGATCACAGGGGCGTCGAGTGGTATTGGGGAAAACCTGGCTTATGAGCTGGCAAAATGCGGCTGTAAATTGGTTCTGTCGGCAAGAAGAAAGGAAGAATTAGAAAGGGTAAAGGCAAAATGCATTGGTAAGCTCATTATATATTTCTAATCCCAAACAAGGCACTTCGTTTATTCATATCATAGCTCTTCTAAGTTGGTACAGATTATAGACCTTACCCTCTCCTGAGTCAGGTGGGGTGCTTGCCAACGCGACCTTTGGATTATAAAAAGTAATGATGCGATCCTCTAAGCCAAATTGCAATGGAAGAAGCAGCAGAAAAAGAAACCTAACCAGATTGAAACCCATGACTTCCAAGTGTGGTTGAATGTTGCTATCAACTTGGCCTACCAACTAAGTCAGGAAGGTTTTGCCTCCTCTCAAGAAATTTGAACACAAATAACATAAAAGAAATACAATTTGACATGTAAATAAAGACAAATAATAAAGTAATTTTTACAGGTGAATTAAAATTACTGGCAACGAAAGAAATTACAGAAAAAGAAGGCAAAGAAGCCTGCATTTTTTCAGGCTAATTTTTCTCTAATTTTTTCAAATGCAAGTTAAAAGCCTGAAGCACATAATTTCTCTGTCACTTAACCTCAAATTTGTCTATCTAAATGTGGATGGGACCTCAAAGTCATTGCATTGATACTGATATTGGTGCTATTTAATAAACTGCAATTTTTAAATGTTTTTTTGTCAGTTCTGGCAGGGGAGAAGTCACCTGCTATTGATGTTTTAGTTCTTCCAATGGATGTCACAGATTATAATTCACATAAGGACCATGCTCAAGCTGTTATGGATCACTTTCAGAGGGTCAGTGAATTAAATATGATTCAAAATGTGATCTGATATAATTTAAAATGAAATAAATTTACCGTGGACTTTTTCAGCTATATCACCAATTAGGAATACACCATTAGTTAAGAAAAAGATAGATTACAAAGCAGAAGACCCATCAAGCCAGAGCATCACATGATTTATAAAGCATGAAGCAATAAGGATTATTTCTACATTGTACTAGATAGGATGCTAGTCCATCCCAGGGTTACCTCCGTTCTCCATGAGTTTTTCAGGTCTCCTTGCAAGTCTGCAGGGATCCATTTATACTTTAGGGTGGGGAGACTCACTGTGAGAGGAAAGGGGCTTACCTTAGATCACAAAACAGTGACCTCACTAAAACTTGAATCCAGGGGTTTTGATATGCATTCCAACATATGAATGTATACTACTGGTAGTCTCCCTTTTCCAAATGACAGGACTCAAAAATAAATTTGCTTTCTTTCCAAGGCTTTTTCAGCTAAGTGCAGGTCTTAAAGGCAGGTTTTCATTGTAACTGTGCAAGGATAGATTGAGGGGAGGGGTGCAGGGGGTGCACACCCCACCTTAGATGACCTTCAGTTTTCTTATGTAACTTGTGTTGTGAAGATAAAAACTTTGATTTATTGATGTTAAGTAAAATGGAAGAAAAAATTGAAGAATTGATATTTAAGCCCATGTCAAATGGCAGTTTGGCACTAACATTCTAAACATAAGTTCTTCTATTTGTCATAGCAGACATCAGTTGTGTCATTCCTTGGTGGTGCAAAATGTCCAGTTGTTAATTCAATTATCAACCCCTCTAGGGAGAATGCAGACATCAATGTTATTTACACCATATCACTCAGTGTCTTTGCAAAAAACCATTAAGAGAAATAGGTTGCAGAGACTTTGCTTTCCTCTTTCCCTTTTATTACAAAATAATGTATCTTGAAAACATATCTTCCCTGTGTGAAATAGAACTTTTCACCTTACAGATTGATATTCTGGTCAACAATAGTGGCCGATCCCAGCGTGGTCTTGTACTGGACACTCCTGGTGTGGAGGTTGACAAAGCAATGATGACTATAAATGTCCTTGGACAAATTTCATTGACCAAGGTAGTATTACCACACATGATCAAGCACAAAACAGGACAGATCATTGTTACAAGCAGTGTGGCTGGCAAAGTTGGTATGTGATAAATATTATTACTCACTGTTTCACAATTTTTACTTTTTATGTTACTGAGGTAGATGCATTAAGGAAAATGATGATCTTATGCCAGTAGTAAAAATATTGTTCTAAAGAGGACCCATGGTGACAATCATGATAGTCTGTGTAGCAGTTGTTAATGTTGTTCACTTGAGATATATTTTTGCATAAGAGTCACAAATGAATTGTCAGTCAAGGTTTGGATTTTTATCTTATATTATATTTATATAATTATATTATATTTTTATAATTATTGGTTACTGTGCTCTTGGTTGTTGTTCTAACTATTCCTCTTATTTTACACCTATTTTACAGGTTCTCCAGGACAAGCTACATACAGTGCAACTAAATATGCTATTCAGGTTTGTACATAATCATGGTAACCAAAAATTACCTAAATGAAGAGCCTTTTTGTACTTTTAGATTTTATAATTTTTTCACAGGGATTGGGACTTTCAGGTTGCTTCTTCTTGCATTTAACAAACCTACAACAGCTTTGATCAAAGTTCAAGAATCTAGTAATGTTTGGCTTAGTAGTTCTGTAGTTTGTCTGGCCTACACATAAAGAGAAAACAGAAATGATCTGTTCTTATCACTTGGCACCATATCAGGTTTCCTTTAGTAAATAATATTTTGTTGTGTTGAAGGGTCCTTAGCCCAACAAAAGGTTGAAGGGTTGCTTCCTCTAGGAATTACTAAGAGGAGGAAATCTTTTTGTCAACTTTTTAGGGTTATTACTTTCATAGGGGTGGTTTGTTTGTTTTGGTATTAATGAAATTTGTCCTTGACTAGCTGGTGATTAATGCTGTGAAAAAATAATTGGTTATAACAACCTTTAACAGGTGCATATTTTGTAATTAAAGTTATCCTTCTTGAGGTAAAGATTATTGATGGTTACTGTTGTGACTCACCAGGGTTACTACAACACATTACGCATGGAGGTGAATGAACATGGCATTGGTGTGACACTGGTATGCCCTGGTCCTGTTCAAACAGATGTTGTGGCAAATGCCTTCACTGAAGATGTAAACAAGGTATGAAAGATGTAATCAAGTTGATAACTAAAATTGGCCACCATAAAGAGTTTAAAAGCTAACACTTCAAGTATTAGCCCTTTGTGAGAGCAATAAAATTGAAAGATTCAAGCAACAGCAAAGGGTATTCTTTCAACCAAGAATTTTTCTTCTCTCTCTGTTGTTTTAAGATAGATAATCTCTTTTTTCAGGTAGTAAGAAGTAAAAATTTTCCTTGCAGACAAGCCTGTTAAACCTTGTACTCTTAAGATCTCCATGTCAATTATCTTTGTGCTTTAAATTTTTTGTGGTTGAGTCTCTGGGAATATGGGGTGGAATTTAACATTTTCCTCAGTGGACATAACAGTTCTTTTCATCACCTTTCTATGTGGATATATACTGTTATTGTACACAGAAATTTCTTTCTTTAACTCTTGGGAGCTTGGGGGTTCATTTGTTAACTAAATTGAAACGGTAAATTTTGTCTGTGTAGCAATTTAAAGAGAAAGCAACAGTTCAACGGGACAGTAAGAGAATGCAACCAGCAAGATGTGCTCACCTTATGACTGTGGCGATGGCTAACAAGCTTGATGAAGTGTGGATTTCTCCAAACCCTGTCCTGCTATTTATCTACATCAGTCAGTACTGTCCTGTACTATATGATTGGTAAGTCAGTGTGTCTTGTGAAAGAAAGGGGTTGGGGGGGAAGGGGGGAGGGTTTGGGGTGCCATAGCTGTTCTTGCACATAGATTTCCACCATGAGATTTTCACTATTGAAACTGTCCATTGGAATGTTTTACTTTCCTTTCTACTCAGAAAATTATGATACTTGTACAATATTGTGCAAGTAACTCCTGTACATTTTATTTTTTTAGGTTTGCCAAACGTGTAGGTATGAAACAGGTTCGAAGGATGCGGGAAGAAACAGAATCAAGGTAATTGCTGCCTAAAATTGACTCTAATTTATTCTGAATGAATTGAAATGAGTGGTATATCTACACATTGCTAGCTCTACTCAAGTGTTTGAATGTCTAATGAAAGATCTTTTTTCACTGCAACCCTTTAAGATCACAAATGTTGATCTGATTAATGTGGGAAAGGAATAAACAACCAAACAAACAAGTCTATGAAATACAATGCACTTATGGCTGCTATAAACCTAGGAGGCTAAAATATCCTTATTGAAAACAAAATGCCCTTTTCTGAATGCTATAAGGCCAAGATTCAACCATCAAGTCGTCTTGGAATCACGAGGATAAAAGTTAGTTAAGCATTCATTTATACCACACAAATTTTTTTCACAGCCTTTACAGGTCAACATTAAGTCCATTTCTTTTTCCTTACCTGACCTTTTTTATAATGAACCCCTGGGTATTCTTTGGTTCATGGGTTGTGGATTCTTTATCAGGATTGGACAGCACTGTACAAAGGTTAAGGCAACGTGTCTTGTGTTTGTTTTGAAATAAACTGATTATCGTATCTTTGTATTTCAGGAAAAAAGACTGACGGACAAAAAACCAGCAACAAGTGAAATTCTAATGTAATTAATGATTGTAATTGTGCTGTGATCTTCAAGATTATTAAGATATAAATAAAACAAGACTGTTAGTTTTTCATGCGTTCAGTATTCTCTATCTCAACTTGTTTTACACAACATAAAGAAAAAATTCATTGCCTTTATCAATGTCAGCAATAAAGGGCACTGTTTGCCAGGACACAAAAGTATCCTTACTAGCAATGAGTTGACTGACAATGGCAGAGGCTCTATTATACTTTGTCAGTTTGTATTGTACATATCCTGTGAGCAGACTTCTGATTGGCCCAGTGGCATGAGTGGTGGAGCCTTGTGAGTGTGCCAGGGTCCAGGCCCCCTTACAGACATCTCGCAGGCATTACCCCTAGTGCCACAGCGCTATTGAGAACATGCTTACAGGCTCTGGTATACTTAAACACTCCAGAGAAACTTCCAGGACACATGAAAAGATAAGAAAAGGCAATGACAAATAAAATGAGGCATTCATAAGTCTGCCATGAAGACATGCTGCTAAGGATGGCCAAAGCCTACTTCTGTTAACCAAATTTGTGGCTCATAGCACCCACATATATTTTAATCTAGCTCACAGGAGCATAACAAACATAGATTTCGCAATACGAAAATATCTATTTCAACATGACACTACACCTTCATCTGGTCTTCAAAGTGCCCGAGTGGCTCTGGGAACGAGAATGGTTAGTACAGAGAACTGGTGGTTTCCAGTCTCCACCCCATTATAATCGGATGGAGATCTTTGGAAGTAAACTGACCAGTGAAAATACTTTACTTCTGGTAATTTTGTTTTCTCCGATAAACATGCTTCACTTTTGCTAAAAACCAGCGGAGCAGTTGGCGATATTTGTATCCTCTCAGCCGAAAATTTCAGCAAGACATTGGTTGGTCTGATTTCTGATATTGTAATCTCAAATCAAGACATTTCGTAAATGTAATCAAATTATTTTGAGCAAAGTTGCCAAAAATAAGCTGAAGTAAATAATTCAAAGACTAAAGAAAGGTTAAAGAGCCATCGTAAAGGTGAGCGCTTTTTTTTTCTCTGAAAATTGAATTTTGCATGCTCTTGATCTCGCAACCATTTGATTACGTATATAGTAATATATTCAACTTGTTGGTCTAGATCTCAAATTTATGGACTCAATTGATTTCCTGCAATGTTTGTTTTAAACATTTTCTTTGAAAGATATATTTTTTAACCAAATTTTATTTCTATTGCTGCATTGTATCCAATATGATTCACCACTCAATCAATCTGAGAAATGCAGGCCTGGCTCATTTACTAAGCCCCTGCCTGAAATTGGA